GACCTCCAAGGTCCCTTCCAATTATTATTATTATTATTATTATTATTATTATTATTATTATTATTATTATTATTATTATTATTATTATTATTATTATTATTATTATTACTATTATATCCAAATACTCTTTTCTATTCAAGAATTCTATAGTTGATACGTCCTGCCTTGAACCATCTTGATTAGGAATCATTGAGTGGATGCTAACCTAAAATTTCCACAGATAAAACATTCATGAGAGCAAAATTAAAGAACGATGGTATTTGTGGTTGACAAAATAATGTGATTGAAAGAATGGAATTTAATATCTTTATGAGCCAAGCGTTTTGAATGTACAGGTTTGGTGTGGGTTAGAAAGAGAGTCCTTCTGATCCATAGGGCTTTCTGCCAAGGACCAGCTATTTTGGGGGCTTTGGATATGCTGATGAAACTACTTTGAGGGCTGAAAGCAAAGACATTCCTTCCTTCCTTCCTTCCTTCCTTCCTTCCTTCCTTCCTTCCTTCCTTCCTTCCTTCCTTCCTTCCTTCCTTCCTTCCTTCCTTCCTTCCTTCCCACATATTACCAACTATTGAGGTTTCTCATTGGTTTCTACTGAGACATAAAACTGAAGTTAGACCCATAAATATTACAATCAAAACTAGGGCACTCATTTAAAAACCTGTTTTAAAAAGGTGTGTGTTTAAAGCCTTCAAAAAGCCAGGAACAGTAACTCTTCACTGTAACTTTACTGTAACTTTAACTCCATTGATCCCCTCAACTCAACACCAGGAGTGGGGGAGAATGAGGTTGGCTATATGCAGGGGTGTCAAACTGCAGGCCCACGGGCCAGACGCGTCACCAGGAAACCGCGCCCACCCCATTGCCAGCAATGGGGAAAAAGCTCCATACGTTGTGTGACGTCACGTGACATCACGAGTTTGACATGTCTGCTATAGAGCATCTTAGCTTACAGCTAAATTGCCGTGAGCAGGGAAAACAAGCAGTCCTCCTGATTAGCAAATAAGTAACCAAATAAAGATTTTAAAAGATATTTTGTTGGAATCCAAAAGAGAAAACTTGTCAGATTTGAAAGTGCAGGATTAGAAGGTAGGAAAATGAGGAGCTGTTTAAGAAAGGGGGAAAAATGAACCTTAAATCAATATTTATGAATGCACAATTAGCTGAGTGATGACAGAATATTACTAGGTTAGTCTAAAACATCTATTCGAATTATTAGGTCTGATTTCTAATACACACACAAAGTCAGAATGGGTCAATGAAAAAGTGAATTCAATTAATTTTTAATAGCATTTAAGATTTTATGTTTTAAAACTTTCCTTTGAATAATTAATCGGAAAAAAAATGAATCTAATTTAAACAAGGTAGTGGAAGGTGTTCGGCATCATTTTGATTATATTCTTAATCAGCTTAGGTTCAAATCTAGTTATCATTCTAAACTGGTATGGATTAATGACATTTTTTGATGGGATAAAAAGATTTGTGGCAAATGACATAGGTGAACTTATTACTGTTGTTTTAATTACAAGATCTTGTTTTTCTTTTCTGGCAAAAAAAAAATATGAACGTTCTTGTTTTTAATTTTTTCCCCCCCAAAGGTTATGAGACTTCCTAGCTTGTAATTTTCCAGAAAGAAATTTCATGTTTTCATGTTTGCATAATTCTTATAAAATTGTAAAATTCATACTTTCTCAGTATTATTCTTTTCACAGCTTGTGTAGCCATCTGAGCTACCGTATTTTCCCAAAAATAAGACCTATCCTGAAAATGAGCCCTAGCTTGATTTTTACGTGTGCGCCTAATATAAGCCCTACCCCCAAAATAGGCCCTAGTTAAGATCCCGTCCACTCCATCCCTCCATCTGGTTGCCCGAGGTGGGGCAAGGCGCATGCATAAAAATCAAGCGGGTACGGGGTGAAGCTGCACCACGCACCCCGTACCCGCTTACCTCAGGACCACCACAGCCAGGCCTCTCACACGCCAACACTTGCCTCGCCTCATGGCAGTGGCACCAACAACCCGGTCTAGTAGGCCCACTTCTTCTGGGGCCGCTCATCGTTGCTCATGCGTGTCGCCCTCCGGCCTCCATTTTGCCTTCAGGAAAAGATGTCTGCCAGTGAAACAGAGGCTGAGGGGGGGTGACTCACACATCATCCTGAGGCTCTGTTCTTGGCTGCAGAGGTCTTTCCTGAAGATCTCTGCCAGCAAAACGGAGGCTGGGGGCGACATGTGGGAGCAATGGCGAGTGGCCACAGAAGTGGGCTGCTGGTGGCCACATGAACTCCTGCTAGATGGGGCTGTTGGTGCCACCGCGGTGAGGCGAGACAATGGAAAAAATAAGACATCCCCTGAAAATAAGACCTAATGCCTCTTTTGGAGGCAAAAATATATATATATAAGACCAGGTCTCATTTGTCTTTTTCAGAAGTGAACTTTTCATTTCTACATACCACGGGGAGTGACCACTTCTGTGATTAAAAGAGGTTGGTAAAATTTAAGATCCAAAAGAATGAGAATCGCTGGTTTATGTCATATTAAACTGAATAAGAAGATATAATCTGAAAATGCTGTAATAATGCTGCAAGTATTTGTTAGGAAAATTCAAATCCCGGTTTTGACACAAAGGCCAGCAAGAGCCACAACATTTTGGCTGCAATATTCCCAATAGTCACCAGATGGCACCAAAGAGAAGCTTCTGTCTCCGCTGCCATCTAGTGTCCACCTGGAATTTGTCCAAAGGTGAGTTGCATCTCCCATCTTGAGTTATGTATTGGAATGGAATAGAAAAGAGCTGGAAGGGACCTTGGAGGTCTTCTAGTCCAGCCACCTGTTCGAGCAGGAAAACCTATACCATTTGAGACAAATGACTGTCTAGTCTCTTCTTAAAAACCTCCAATGATGGACTGCCCTTTCTGAAGGCAAGCTGTTCCACTGGTTAATTGTCCTCATTGTTAGGAAGTTTCTCCTTAATTCCAGGTTGCTTCTCTCTTTGGTCATTTTCCAACCATTGTTCCTTGTCCTGCCCTTTGGTGCTTTGGAAAATAATTTAACCCCCTCTTCTTTGTGGCAGCCCCTCAAATACTGGAATACTGCTATCATGTCACCCCTATTTCTTCTTTTGTTTAGACTAGCCAAACCCAAGTCCTGCAGCCGTTTTTCGTATGTTTTAGTCTCCAGGCTTTTGATCATCTTAGTTGCTCTTCTCTAAACTTTTTTCAACATCTTTTTTGTAGTATGGTGACCAAAATTGGTTGTAATATTCCAGGTGTGGTCTTACTAGGGCTTTATAAAGCGGCACTAATACTTCACGTGATCTTGATTCTATGCCTCTGTTTATACAAAAGTGCTTTTCAAGAGGCAACTGGACTTTCTTGTTTTTCTTTGAAGACCTGGATGACTGAGAATCTTCATAGACATCCACCCATAATTTGTATCCCCAAACCGTTAACTTAGCAAGTTAAATATTAGACTACCCTGCCCTAAATTCTTGACTTAAACTGTAAAATTGGCTCTATTACTAGATTATTATGGAATTTAAGAGAATACATGGCTAGTCTAGAGAAGAGAAGGAGTGGGGAGACATGACAGCAGTGTTCCAATATTTGAGGGGCTGCCACAGAGAGGAGGAGGGTCAACCTATTTTCCAAAGCATCTGAAGGCCAGACAAGGAATAACAGATGGAAACTGATCAAGGAATGATTCCACCTGGAAATAAGGAGAAATTTCCTGACAGTGAGAACAATCAACCAATGGAACAATTTGCCTTCAGATGTTGTTGGTGCTTCATCACTTCAGGCTTTCAAGAAGAGACTGGACTACCATCTATCAGAAATGGTGTTGGGACTCCTGCTTGGGCAGGAGGTTGGATAGATGACCTACAAGGTCCCTTCCGCTATTCTATTCTATTCTATTCTATTCTATTCTATTCTATTCTATTCTATTCTATTCTATTCTATTCTATTCTATTCCGTATTGTCTCTATTCTATTCTATTCTATTCTATTCTATTCTATTCTATTCTCTCTTCCATATTGTCTATTCTATTCTATTCTATTCTATTCTATTCTATTCTATTCTATTCTATTCTATTCTCTCTTCCATATTGTCTATTCTATTCTATTCTATTCTATTCTATTCCATATTGTCTATTCTATTCTAATTTTATTCTATTCTATTCTCTCTTCCATATTGTCTATTCTATTCTATTCTGTTCTGTTCTGTTCTATTCTATTCTATTCTCTCTTCCATATTGTCTATTCTATTCTATTCTATTCTATTCTATTCTGTTCTGTTCTGTTCTCTCTTCCATATTGTCTATTCTATTCTATTCTATTCTATTCTATTCTATTCTATTCTGTTCTGTTCTGTTCTGTTCTGTTCTCTCTTCCATATTGTCTATTCTATTCTATTCTATTCTCTTCTATTCTCTCTTCTATTCTGTTCTATTCTATTCTATTCTATTCTATTCTATTCTCTCTTCCATATTGTCTATTCTATTCTATTCTATTCTGTTCTGTTCTGTTCTGTTCTCTCTTCCATATTGTCTATTCTATTCTATTCTGACAATTTAGGATCGTCTTCCAGGTTATTCGAAAAAGATTCAGTTATAGAAAACCCAACTTTCCGATCACTCTCTACGTCTCCCAGCTTTGCATTTGGAGTGAAACGAATCCCAAATTGCCCCGAGTATATTTTATTATTTTTATTTCAAAAACGGTCAGAGAGGAGGGTAATTTCCCTAAGAGCCACCCGCCGTGGCGCTCGAGGAGCTCCTGTCTCTCAGCCCCGCCCCTTTCGAGGAGGAGAGTTCGGGTGAGTGGGGGGGGGGAGGAGGAGAGGGGAAAGCGTTCTCTTCTCACGGAGGAAATTGGCCCCGGTGGCTCGCCGTACGCGAAGCCCTTAAGCAGCGTGAGAGTTGGAAGCGCGAGGGGTTCCCCTTTCCGTCCCTGCTGCGGCGCTTGCAGCTTTTGTGGGTTGGAACTTTCACGCTCGCGGGATTCGAAACGTCACAATGGCTCAGAACGTTCAGAGTGTTACATTGTCTCTCACGCTGCCCATCACTTGCCACATTTGCCTGGGAAAGGTAAACGCCACCCTCGCCGTTTTGGGGTTTTTTTGTTTTTTGTTTTTACAAAGGGACCGCGCGGCGTGGAACGTGTCCGGCGCCGACGCCCCACTCCCTTGCAAAAATGCGCGTGGGACGCAGGAGAAAAAGCCCCCCCCCTCGGTGGGGGGGGGAAGAGGAGGAGAAGCGCTTTTAATCCCACGCGTTCTTTCTTCTTTTTCTCCTCCTCCTCACCCTCCCATCCCTTCCACCCCCCTTTCTCGCGTGGCTTTGAATGGGCGATTATTTCTACATTCCAGCTTTGGAAACGGCTCGCCGAAAGCTTAAGAGGCTGCGGTGGCTTTTCCGAGGCAGGAGGGAAGGCCTTAGGTAGGTGGCATGGCATGGGAAGCAAAACGGGGATTCTGCTTTCGGGGGGAAGCTCTATTTCCGCTTTCCAAGTGTTACTTCAATTATCGGCTTCCGAAAAAATATATATATATATTTGCACGGCAGCAAGAATCATTCTAATATATATATATATATATATATATATATATATATATATATATATATATATATATATATATATGTATATATATATATATATATTAGAATGATTCTTGCTGCCGTGCAAATGCAGCGGAGCTTCAGGAAATCCCCTTGCAAGGAAAGGAGAGACCTGGAAGGAAGAAACCCCCCCCCCTTTCTCTCTCTCTCTCCCCCCCCGTCTTGTATGTTTCCTTCTTGGGTGGGCGATTCATTCAGAGGACTTCAGGATTGTAGCTTTTTTTTGTCAGTAGTTGTGGGTAACCTGTTGGTAGGTTCTCAACTGAGGTTGTAGAAACAAGGTAGGCCGAATGACGGGGGGGGGGGGAGCGAGAGCCACCGTCTATCGCTAGCCCATAACGGGTAGTCCTCGGGCTTAACGACCCGAATTGAGCCCCAGATTTCGGTTGCTAAGTGAGACGTATACGTTAAGTGAGTTTTGCCCTGTTTTGCAAACCGTTCTTGCCAGAGTTGTGAAGTGAATCGCTGCAGTTCTTTTGGTTGTTAAGTAGGCTTCCCCTGTTGCTTAAAAGGTGATCACAGGACACCGGGACACAGCAAAACATCATAAATATAAACACCAGTTACCAAGCATGTCAGTGTTGACCACAAGACTGTGGGGATGCTGCAAAAGGTGTAATGGTGAAAAATGCTCATAAGTCACCTTTTTTCTGGTGCTGTAACTTTGAACGGTCGCCAAATCAACTGTTGTAAGTCGAGGACTACCTGCATTGGTTGCTGAAAGGCTCCTCTTCCTCTTGAAGTTGAAGTTCGTTGGGTTTCCCTCACTTTTCTTCTAAGTTCAAAAAGCGTGAGAAGATTTGAAGGTCGGTAAATGTAAACCGGTAGGGACGGCTCATTCTGAGCTACAGTGATTTCAGATCTGTGTTACTGTCTGCGCTTTCTCTGATCTGCTGTGGCTTATCCGCTGTCCCTTATCCTTCTGGGTTTGTTAAATTTATGAGAACAGTTAACCAGTGGAACAACCTGCCTCCAGAAGTGGTGAATGCACCAACACTGGAAGTTTTTAAGAAGAGACTGGACAGCCATTTGTCTGAAATGGTATAGGGTTTCCTGCCTGAGCTGGGGGTTGGACTAGATAACCTCCAAGGTCCCTTCCAACTTTATTATTATAAGATAAGGTCTCCAGTTTTTCTCTTAGATGAGACTGTGACTGTCATTGCCCAAGGAAGGAAGACTTTTCTCTCTCTCTCTTTTTTTTTTTTTTTTTTTCCAGAATTGGGAACTGTTCTCCTGATGGCTCGGTCCATTATTGAGTTCTCCCTCCTGAATTGGCTTCTAAGAAATTGTTTTATTAGGTAAAGGTTACCTTTACCTTTGCAAAAAGATAAAGATAAAAGGTTTCCCTCCAGAATCTAGTTTGGTGCTTATCTCCGTTTCTTGGCCGACATTTTCCGGGGTCATGTGTGGCCAGGATGGCTACACACCAAAGATGCACAGAACACTGTTACCTTCCCACCAAAGTGGTACCTGTTAATCTACTCGCGTTCTCATGCTAGGTGGACAGGAGCTGGGGCAAGGAACGGGAGTCAGCCCATTGCTCCCGTATCGAATCCGGGTTGTCAGCTTTCCAGCTGTCAAGCTCAGCATTTTTAACCACTGAGCCATCGTGCCACAATACAATCACTGACGCAGAGGCAATATGATGATGATGATGATGATGATAATACTGGAGACAGCAGAATAGACGAGAAAGAACTGGAGAAGACAACAAAATACAAAGACCTACAAATAGAAATAGAAAGACTGTGGCAAAAGCAAGCAAGGGTAGTACCAATAGTAATAGGCGCCTTGGGTGCAATCCCAAACCAACTGGAGCACCACTTGAACACCATCGGCATTGACAAATTCGCCATTAGTCAATCGCAAAAGGCGGCCTTACTAGGAACTGCTTCCATCCTGCGACGATATCTGTAATACCATCAAACATCCACATCTGCCTATCCCAGGTCCTGGGTAAGGACTCGATAGGTAGACAAAATGCCAAATCCAGTCTGAACATCTGGCTGACTGTGCGATGATCCATAAAGTTGGAAGGGACCTTGGAGATCTTCTAGTCCAACCCCCTGCTCAGGCAGGAAACCCTATACCATTTCGGACAAATGGCTATCCAGTCTCTTCTTAAAAACTTCCAGTGTTGGAGCATTCGCCGCTTCTGGAGGCAGGTTGTTCCACTGGTTAATTGTTCTAACTGTCAGGAAGTTTCTCCTTAGTTCTAGGTTACTTCTCTCATCTTTTCATCTGTTTCATTTCGACTTAAAAATATTAATTGCATCATTTTTCTTCCCTTTTCTGTATAGAAGGAACACTTAAAGATGTAATAAATAAGGATAAAAGAATGTCAAAATAGTATTAAGGTCTACTAACGGTCTGATGTAACACTACAGGTAGTCCTCCATTTAAAGCTATTCATTTAGTGACTGTTCAGAGTTGCAGGAGTGCTGGGAAATGTGACTTAGGACCATTTTTCACATTTACCACTGCTGCAGCATCCCCAGGGTCACGTGACCAGAATTCAGACTCTTGGCAACTGACTTATATTTATGATGGTTGCAAAGGTCCCGGTGCTCTTGTGATCACCTTTTGTGACCTGTTACCTGACAAGCAAAGTCAGTGAGAAAGCCACATTCGATTAACAACCAACTAACTTAACAACTGTTATTACTAACTTAACAACCACAGTGATTTACTTAACTGCAGCAAGAACGGTCATAAAGTGGGGCAAAACTCAACCACTGTCTTGCTTAGCAACATAAATTTTGAACTCTTATTTTTGTAAGATTCGGACTAACTGCAGTTTTTACCATTGCCTAATTAAGCAGCAATGGAGTCTACCACTCCTTAGGAAGTAGTTGAATCAGAATAAAGTTGGAAGGGACCTTGGGGGTCTTCTAGTCCAGCTCTCTGCTCAAGCAGGATATCCTATCCCATTTCAGACAAGTGACTGTCCAGTCTCTTCTTAAAAATCTCCAGTGATGAAGCACCTACAACTTCTGGAGGCAGGCTGTCCCACTGGTTAATTGTTCTAACTGTCAGGAAGTTTCTCCTTAATTCCAGGTTGCTTCTCTCCTTGATTAGTTTCCATCCGTTGTTTCTTGTCCTGCTCTCTGGTGCTTTAGAAAATAAATTGATCCCCTTCTCTTTGTGGCAGCTTCTCCAATAGTGGAAGACTGCTATCATGTCCCTCCTAGTCCTTCTTTTCTCTAGACTAGCCAAACCCAAATCCTGCAAGCGTTCTTCATATGTTTTATTCTCCAGGCCTTTAATCATCTTAGTTGCTCTTCTTTGCACTTTTTCCAAAGTCTCAAAATTTTGGGGATCTGTAGTGGCCAAAACTGAATGCAGTATTCCAGGTGTGGTCTTACTAAGGCTTTATAAAGCGGTACTAATACGTGATTTTGATTTATGCCTGTGTTTATATAACCAAGGATTGTGTTAGCTTTTTCGGCTGCTGCCGCACACTTCCACAGGCGAAAAGGCCCTTCTTGTAGAGTTAACAAACTTGCTTCCTTCAATGCTACACATCCAACCTGGTCTCTGATGAAGACTAGAGTCCGGTGTTTCTCAATCCTGGCTACTTGAAGATATGTGGACTTCAACTCCCAGAATACCCCAGCCAGCATTCTGGCTATAGACAATGAGCTGGCTCATACAAGAGGAAGTGGATTTTCACTTATCCTGAAAAAGCAAAAGCAGAACTAACAGGAAGCCCCTGTCATTTGATTCCAGCTGTATTACGGTATCTTAAATGTACATCGGATTCTAGTCTGGCCAGTATACTTGCATATTTTGAATATTTTTTGGTGAGAATTCATCACGGTGGGTGTTACCGTAATCTGAGATAAACACATAATTATCATTATTTATTAACTCCCTGCCTTCTTGGAGCTTAGGGCAATATGTATAATAGCATGCTCTTAATTTTTTTTATCTCCAGTCCAATAAAGTAAATTGAGCTGAGAGAGAAAACTGGCCCCAAATCAAGTTAATTCCATTGTCAAATAGATTTGAACATGCTTCTTTCTGATCCCAGGCCCAAAATTCAAGCCCTATTTTACTAGAACACTGGTCCTGTGCTATGAATGTTTCATTTTCAAGAAAGAAGGCAAAAACTAATCAAATCTTTATTGCAGTCATAGACCAGAATAAGCATCTTCCTTATGGTTCTCTCCCACAGTGAGAATAAGATTCACAAACTCCTAACTTTGTAGCCGAATGCTCAGAATAGCAGTTTGTTTTGCTTTATATTCTATATGGGAAATAGGCTGAAGTATGGATGGTATTGGTTTAATATTGGCAATTATAAGTGCGGTTGAGTCATTATTGTGTAACATATTTCATTTTTCCCGAGTTTGGAGTATAATTTAAGAACCATGATGTATTGGCTTAGCTCAGGAATGGGCAGGTGTTAGGAACCTTTAAATGATTTTCAGTTTATATTCTATATAGAAAATAGGCTAATGTATGGA